TGGAAAATATTCTTTCAATAATACTCTTTCAATTATTTTATTCAGAGGAATATGATTCACCAAATTGGTTGCCTGTGTATTTCTATAGACTGGACAAAGTTTTTATTGAACTCAACTACTTGTCAATTAATGTTGGTGGATATTTCATAATATCTTTTGAATGAATTGGGCCATTTCAAAAAAATTTAGAATACAGCAAAATCATCCCTGTCATCAAAGTGCTATCACTTTGAATAATGAGTCTATATGTCATCTTGATTTGTGAAATAGGTCTTCCTAATATATAGTCAAAATAGATAAAATACTTTAATTCATAAATTGTAATGGATTTTTATGATAGTAAAGAAAAGAGTATAATAGTAACTGCATTAAAATATTTATCTAGCATTTTAAAACTCAATAGGCATGCCTAGTTATTCACCTATTGACTAATTAGATAAATATTTAATGAATACCTGCTATATAGTCGGCTGTTCACCTCTATGTCATTATTTACTTACTGATTCCCTAGTGATAGATAACTGATTTGTTTCTAATTATTTACTTTTATAAACAACAAACCAATGAACATACCAATGATAGTCCAGCCATCATTGTACATTTAAAAAAAGTTAAAACATGATTCAAACAAATAAAGATTAAACACATATCAAATATTTACTTAATTCAATTGTGGGAAAATCACCAGGATAGTAAAGCTGGTTCAACAGGCATTTGAGGAACACATATTTACATACTTAGTAAGGAAAGGCATGCTTATTTAAGTTTGCTAAGTTAGAGACTGCATTCCAGGGCAATACAACTCTAATTTAGAGTTTATCTTACCTAATAGACAGAAATAATTTTTGCCTCTACCAGACAGAAATATACAAGTTAATGTGATTTAACAATGTCTGGAATGTAGTCAATAATAAATTCTATATTAAAATGGATATTAGAAAATTAAATCATCTTTAGGAAGACCTATTAGACAGTGCTCTAGGGTAATATTGTAAGCACTTATCCTTTTTTTCCTTATTTACAAGTTTTGGTTAATTTTTTTTAGAACACATGTCAAATTTAACTGCATTTTGAAAGATGACAAAGATGAGGCCAGGTAGATAGCGATGAGAAAGGCTAAGGATACCTGAAAGGATATTTCCTCTATGAAGAGTCATATGATTACCTTTGTTGTGAAGTTGCTAATCTTTTATTACCAACTAAGTTGTAGTCTCCTCAAGCGGGGATGCAGAGGGGATTACTATGTCTTGATATTTCCTGCATTCTTCAGAGCATTTAGACAGGCTCATTAAAATGACCCAGTTGGGTTGAACAGAAGCAAATTCAAAACTATTGAGACTGCATTTGTTGGGAGTTGACTACCTCTCACCACCCCACCCAACAGAGAGACAGGGACACCGAGGATGCAAACACTCAAGAGGAGTTTATTTTCTGGCTAGCCAGGGTCCAAGCCTTGAGCACCAACGCAGTGGCCACTCTGGTAGGCAAGGACCCCGACTGGGGTTGCAGCGTGTCTTTTATCCCTATGGTGCATACGCTATGCAGTGGCTGATCACATGTAGATCATGCATTGACCTTTAACATGATTGGTTGGCTGGTAGCCCCACTATACAGGGGTTTGAACAATGCAAAGTTGGCGCAAACAAGCAAGCAAGCAATGGTTTCCATGGCAAGCAAGCAACAGTTTCCAGAAGCCAGATGTTAGTTCCGGCTTCACTGGGGTGTGGGCCTTGCAGGTATGCAATGTATCGACCCCTCACATTTAAATGGAAGTGATGTGAGTTTTCCTCTCTATATAAACATATGAAATGTTTCAATGGCTATTAGGCATTACAGGAATCTTGGAAGAGGAAAAACTTTCTTTTGAGAATATCTTAGTCCTGAAAGAATGGTGGGTTTAGGAAGTGAGGGATTAAATGCTGAACTCTGCTACTGGCTTCACACACAATCCTTAACCTGGATTTTTCCCTGGTTCCTGGCCTGGAATATGAAGGTCACTGGTCAGTTTTCGACCTTCATGTTTCACTTTCAAACTTTGCTTTAGGCTTGGTTTCAAAAGGAGCCTGTAAACAGATAGCTAGAGGGAACTAACTCTTGTTTTGAATTGCCAAGGTCTTTCCTGGAGCAAGAAAGATTTCTGTCTCATGGCTGCTTTTCACATCACAGTTAGATCTGATTAACTCTGTTCACTGGTGATAGCCAGATCTCAAGCACATTTATTGATAGCATCCCTTCTACTGTGTTAAATAGGGTAATATTTTTCTTAGTGCATGTAATTTATCCAATTGCATGAATATTAACAATGCTTTTTTTTTTAATTTTAGGAACATTAGTGTTGCTCATTCAATTGTTTTTTTTTTTTTTCCGATTAAACCATTTAGGAGATGAATCAATCAGTGAACACAACAAAGGACTGAGGTAGAAAGTTCCATCTCAGTTATCTGCCTCTGTCTCTTGCTGAGGGCTTCAGTGGAAGGTTTACAGAAAGTTTTGAATAGGTACAACAGTATCTTTGCTTTTGAGTCAGTGATAGCATCATTGGTTTCCTTTTAGCATTAAACCTTTTATTAGGCAATTCCTCACGGGCCTTAGGGAGGATGTGTGACTCCTTTTAAATTAAAGTAAAATCACAGGATGAAATTGGCTTGCCTCCTAGAGCCCTTTTCCCTGAAACCACCTTGAAGGAGAAGAGTAAATGTTTTAAAGTTTATTTTAGGGCTTTATTAAAAGGAAAAACATGCTTGATGGGTATGCCTTGGAGGTCAATATAGATTTGGGCCAATCAGCAATTCTGTCTCTAGTCACAATAGAAAAGCCTATTCAGTCAGACCACTCTGCGGGAGGCTCCATGAGCAAAAGAAACTCAGCCCCGTGCCCTGTTTTGGACTGACCAATGCAGGAAACTGCTTAGACATTTTAGTTGTACAAATAAAAAGAAATGTAAAATCAAGGATCAGATGATTTGGAGGTTTGGTTCAAGCTGTATGACTTCAGGAAAATAAATTCTCAGAACCTCAGTGTCCTACTGTGAAAAATAGGGATGAAGACCATGTGATCTCCGGAGAAAAATGGAGTTGCCTCTGTGATGTGATTTAAAAGTCCTAGAAAACTTCCTGGCTCAGAATCCCTTTCCAAGCTACTATCTGGAATTCTTTCATTTATAATTTCTTTCCTGGAAATCCACTGCACCCTTCTACCTCTCTTGTAAAATTGAGTACCCCGTGAAGCATATAGAATGCAGTTGTTTGTTTGACCTCAGTGTCAATAGGTTTGTCAGTTGATTTATGCTAAAAAACAAAAACAAAAACAAAAACAAAAACAAAAAAAAACCTCTGTGCAACAAAGTAAAATTGATTGTCCTGGCATAAGAGTGTGAAATAGGCAATAATGCAAAAGTAATGGGAAAGGAGCAGAAAATTCAACATCTCTTCACTTTTGTATGAGTCTAAGAAGGCTTGCCCTGTCTGAAAGTACATGCATCTTTTAAAGTCTAGTTTGGAGCTACAAACTAGACTTATGTACTAGACTAGACTTTCCCCTCTTATGTACTCAGATTTTTCTCTCCCATTGCTTCTGTTTAGTTTTCTAACAGTGTTGTTTAACTTTGTAGAGTACTTGGAATGCTGAATTTTGCTCTCGAAGATACATTACAAAATAAAACCACAGGATATTGCATTATACGTGAAAATGATGGGGAACAGCTCGGATTGAATCTGTAATGTACTCAAGTTAGAGTCACGGGAGCCTCCTGATGCATTGTGCAAAGTGGAAGATGCGCTATTAAATCTGCCTCCATAAGGTAATATTCCCAGGTAACTTGCAATAAGAGTCTCCACTCTGCTATCAGATCACAGGGAAGAACCAAGACCTGCTGAAAAATATGCAGCACTCCAGGTAATATTATATCAGGCACTTGAGGGGAGATAGAGAGATGTTTCCAGAGAAATTTTATTAAGAATAAACTCAATATGAGAAAAATAATGGGAATAGCATTTTTTTCTGGCAAGTACTTTATTAATGTTTAATATTTTTCGGTGTTAGCATAACAGCTGTACTTCAGTTGGAAAGACAACCAGGGAATTTGTTTAATGAAATGCAGAAAAGTCAAAGCACCCCACAAGCTTATTTGTTACTCATAAAAATTATGATAAAACCGTGTGTATGCAAAAGTGTTGGAACAATGAATAATAATATCTGTGAAGATAGAATCTCTTTTCTCAAAATTTACCAATAAACATTAGGACATTAGAGCTAGGAGTTTTTTGTTTGCTTGTTTGTTTTACCATTCTTCATGTTTTGAAAGCATTTCAGTGGTCAGAGAAAACAGTAACATTTGATTTTTGCTCTATTTGAGGGTAGTAATTTCTGTGAAGGAAGAGGGAGAAAAAGAAGGGAGATAGAGGAGAAAAAGGAGGACAGAAAATCTGTAATTATCTTACTTTTACTGATATTTGCAGTTTTTCCAGACCCTTTCACATCTATGCTGGCTGCCCTCACTTCCCAACCTTTTGTTCATTCCAGAAATGACCAAGCTTAGTACAGTATTAAAATATGCCAGGTACATATTATTAATGATTGGCTTCCCCTGAGTTTAGGTCAAGTTAGTTTGGCTCAATAATTGAGAGCTGAGTATTTGCTGGGGAGGGGCTGGTTAGGAAATGATTATAAGGAGGAGTCTGTGAATGGCGTGTGGATCTGAGAACTGCAATATAAGGTGCCAAGCACATGGTGGCAGCAAGGAGAGACAGGTGAGTTCTGGCTGAGAGAGGGAGAGGCTTTGTGGAGAGGTCACAGTAGAATTACGTTTTGAAAAGTAAATAGGCATGGAATGATGAGGGGAAATGAATGAAGGGACAAAGACATGTAGAATGGACAGAACTCACTAGCATTGCAGAAAGGCTGCCCAAATATACAGGGTGCATGGCACGGAGCAGGATCCTGCCTCTACAATAGGGTTGAGTGCACAGTAGGCTTGGATCCTGGTTGTGACTATAGCATTGGTTCCATCAGCAGCAAACAAGAATCTCTTCCCAGGAGAATTGCTTGTGGATAAAGCAGATAAAATTATCATAATGAAGGTGGGCTGAAAGATACAAAAATAAATAACATTTAATCGTTTGCCTGAGAGAAGAAATAAAAATATTGTATAAACTCTACAGGAACATGCAGTATTATTGGGATATAAGCTTACATAATTTTTTCTTTAAGTCTATAAGCAATCATTTAGTGCTTACTGAATATCTATTTAGTGCCTATGCCTGGGCTGGGCCATAAATAAAGAAAATCTGTTCCCTGTCCTCAAGGAGTTAGTGTCTGGTTATAGAAATTAAACTACACAGTTCCTGGGTCAGAGGTAGATGTTCATTATAAGAGAGGGTTTATCAGTCTGCTTTCAGTAGGATCCACAACTCAACAAAGTTATATTTAGCAATCTTTCTGACTGGACCTGGCTACAACACAATTCTTCTTCCCCTCATTCTTCTCTTTCTGGGTGTCCTAAGAAACACCTTTCTCAACAGAAGAGAAAATATTTTTCAAAAGCTAAATTCTACAATTAAAGATACATGATTTTAAAAAATATATTTAGTTTCCATACCACTCTCTCTCCTGCCTCAACTGTATAGCTTTGTTGAAAGCAGGAATTTTGTCTATCCTGTTTGCTGCTGACTACATGAATTTTAAATTTTGCTTGCTTTTCTCAAAGTCTCCCAATTTATACACTAATACTTCATATTATCAAAATTTCTTATTGCCAATATTACAGATGAAATATATCTTATTGTTTTAATTTTTATTTGTGTTTCTTATTAGGAGCACCTTTAATTACAGAGCACATATTCATCTGTGATTTTTTAATCGACAAATAAAAATTATATACATTTATGATCCTATGTGTGTGTGTCTTCTTAAAGTCAGCTCATGGGACAGTCATTTTCATTCAGCTCTATGCTTAGAGAGGAAAGCACTGGACACTATCTGTCTCATTGAGGCAGGATCAGCCCCAGCCATAGACACTTAGAAGGTATAGGAGCATAGATGCTTTTCATCATTCTGTAGTTATGCTGCTGTTTTTAAGTGATAGAGCTGCTTTCTAGAGATGCATGTATGCCATTCTGCCAGCTCCTCTGTACTGCTGGGTCACTTAACTTCTTTCTTTCCACCTTGGAAGGGGGAAAGGGAGGAGAGTGAGGAAGAGACTCTTAGCCTCTTACTTTGCATTTACCCCAGCCAAACTCCTTGAAAGACTATTTAGCCATCCCTGGGGAAGCTCTATTTAGCAAGGTCTACCAGGGGTCCTCAAACTTTTTAAACAGGGGGCCAGTTCACTGTCCCTCAGACCATTGGAGGGCCGTTGGAGAGTGCGGCGCATATTCCACACATGCGCACTGTGGGCCCGGGATGAGTGGGCAGCTGAGCAGGACAGGCAGAGGTGGCAAAAACACCCGGCGGGCCGGATAAATGTCCTCGGTGGGCAGTATGTGGCCTGTGGGCTGTAGTTTGAGGACACCTGGTCTAGACCCTCTTGATGCCACATCTAGGGACAGGTGAATGCAGTTAATGTCAGTGAGATACAGAACACCTAGCTATGCTGATGTATCCCAATACCAGAAACCTGGCTGAAGTTTGCGTATCATCCAGTCTTCCAGTACTGAAGTAAGCCTTCCTCTCTGACCCCCACACTGCCCGGACCACTGTCCTCTAAGCTTTAAAGGACACCTGAAGATTGTTTGAATGGATTTGATCATGCTGCTTGATCTGCGCCCCCCACACTGAAAATCCTGAGATGATCTAGATTCTTAGCTATATATTCAGAGAAAAAAACATGCAAAAAAAAAAAAAAACCCATGAAACCTAGTCCAAGATTGTATGATTTTGTATTTCTTTTGTAATTAATAATAATATTGATAGATAATAAATAACTTGCTTAGATCTAAGTGCCAGGAGGTATACTAAGATTTTTATACACATTATCTTCTTTAATGCTTCCTGTGATGTCATGCATTAATACTATTTCTATGAGGAAATTAAGACTTAAAATGGAGATAGGACTAGAATCCAAATCTCTCTGGTTTTAAAGCTGCGCCTCTTTACTTCAAAACCAGAATAGACCCAGACAGTTTCCCCATCATCAGCTGGTAAAATTCATCCACTGGAACTTCAGAGGTGCCTTCATTCCATCTGTCATTTTCACCTCTAAATGTGGCCTCACAAAATCATTCCCTGAGACATCTTGACAAATGAAGTGGTAAGCAGTATGGACTGGCAGTTAGGGAAGGTGTTCCTTAGGAAGTAAGACTGGACCTGTACCTGAGGGTGGGGGCAGAGATCATGATCTGTGTGAAGAATAGAAGGGAAGGTGTTTCTGAAGGAGGCAGAAGAAAGCATGGGTTTAGGGAGCTCAGGATGAGTGGGGGCAAAGCAGATGTGCCTGTCTTTCGTAAAAATATTTTTCTTGCATCTTGCATTGATGAAAATTTATTTAGCATCTTCTTGGAATGACTATAAAGAGAGGTGTTCTGTCTCATCCACTTAAAGACAAATAAAAATAATTCTAATGAAAACTTATAAATGAAGCATCAACAGAAAGAATTATTATTCTTTATATATAATATATTATGATATTACTTTGTAAAGCTTCTGATATATTTAAAATGTACCTCTTAATTATTTCCTTTAGGCAAAAATACCCAATTAAGTAAAATCATTAATTAGCTAATGTTTGAAAATACTTTGAAGAGGAAGAAAACAACAGCTCACTAATGAATGACATTTTTATGTCTATTCTATTTTCCCATTTTTTTTGTTTTGCATCTAGAAATTCTAGAATTAATTCATATCACCAATTGGACATTACAACTCTAGTAATAATGATTTAAGGGGAAACAAGGAAAATCCACTAGAAGTGGCTTCGTCATCTGTTTTGCTTTTTAATTAGCCTGTGTATATTTACAGTCTTTTTGGATGATTGGTGACTAATGTGTAAAAACCAGCCAGGCAATGATGCTACTTCAGAAAAGAAGATTAAGGAGTTTTTAAAAGACAAAGGGACACAAATACCTTTGGATGATGATTTAAGTCTTACTGAAAACCTGTACTGTAGATCACATCTGAAATCTTTTTCTTTTTTTTTAATTCTAGGTGGTGTGTGACACAAAAGGGCACATTTTAGTAGCCATTGATAGATAGGGGTCCAGGAAAGAAAGTATCATCTGAGGGAAAGAGAATTTTAGCTGTTTAGCCTAGAAATTGTAAGGTGGGTAAGGAGAGACCTGATAGCCATGATTCAACCTTTGGAGGATTGTTATGTTAGTGAAAATCACATGTGTGATTTTCAAAATAAAGGTTGGAAGTTACTGAAGAATTTTCTAACAATTAGAGCTGTCCAGCAGTGGGACTGCTGCTTGATGAAGTGGGAAGTTCCCCTTCGATGAAGTGTTCAGACACAGGCTGGAAGACCATCTGGCAGGGCTGTCATGTGCTGAAGTCTGTCTCCACCACCAGTCATAGCATATGGATAAAGGGCCGTGTTAAATGACTTGATGCTTTCTTCTAACCAAGAGTGCTCAGATTTTGCAATGGAGATGGGATTCCATCAAGGAGGGAAATGGTGAGGGCTGTGTACAGCAGACTCTGACAGTTTCTTTTCATCACTAAGATTTCTTTGCTTTCCAAGGACATCGACAAAGAGGATCAAATCAAAGAGTTCTAGAAGGAAATTTTGTTATATTAGGAAGGTATTTATTAGAAAGGAAGTAAATACTTATGGCACTTTAATCATTTTCAGAGATACAACACTGCTGTAGAAACAATCAAAGTAGGCTAAAGTTGTATTTGGATATTTCTGTGCTGAGTTTATCTCTCTCTCTCTCTTCCAAGTTCAGCTTCTATCATACCCAGAGATTTCTGCCTAATGACCATCCCACCAGGTCTGTCCAAGAACAAGATGATTCCAAATCCCACCTAGGCAAAATTCTAAAGATGAAACCTAAGACCCCCATTCCCTGGTTACTATATTAAATACTAATCTAGGTACCACTGTGAAGGGACATTGTAGATGGAATTAGGTTATAAATCATCTGACCTTAAAATGCATTATCCTAGCTTATCTGGATGAGTCCAGTTAAATCACATGAGTACTTAAAAGTAGAGCATTCCCTTAGGTGAGGGCATGCAAAGGAAGTGATAGAGATTTGGCATAAGGGGAGATCAGGGAGATGAAAAGCATGAGAGACTCAACACACTGTTACTGACTTTGAAAATAGAGGAAGAGGCCCACAAATCAAGGATTGTGGGCAGCATCTAGAAATTGAGAACAACCCTCAGTTGATAGCTAGCCAGGAAATAGGACTTCAATCCTACTATGATTGTGTGGGATTCTGAATGAGTTTGGAAGAAGATTCATTCTTAGGGCTTTCAGAAAGGACTACAGAGCTGCAGACAGCTTAATTTCAGCCTTTATCATCATTTGTTACAGCAGCAATAGAAAACTATTAAATAATACAGCAATGAAATAGTATTGCAGTCCTTCCTAGTCTTTAGCAGAAAAACTTAAAAAGATTATTAATATAATTCACATAATTAGTAAATTGTATTTAACCTTTCAGGAATTTGTTTTTTCAAAAATAGGACCCATAGGTCAAAATGATGTTTCTGTTGATAGAAGGCATAGGGCTGATATTTTGAGAGGTGGGACCTTCTTGGCACTCCATGCTCACTCAAATTTCCATAGATCTCAGTCCATACCTTGGCATCCCTTACCTTATACATCATCCTCACCTCTACTGCAGGGGTGCACACACACACACAAGCACACCACAGAAACTCAAAGCTTTGGAGACCATATTCTCAAAGGCCACTGATCACCTAGTTTGATAAAGAAAATAGACTTATTTACGTAATCATTCCCTTCAGAGTTGTGGCCCTTCTTACAATGAGCAAATCTTGCTGATGAGAAATGTGTATGTTTGCTGAAATTGATAGAGCCTTGTCCACCCTTACTGGTTAGAATCTGAAATCCACCTGTTAGCATGGTGACAACACACATACAGTATGTCACAATTAAAGTGGTTAATGTAGATTCTTTGGCATTGTTTTCTCACATTGTTCCATTTTAATGTTACTTATCTAGTTTTGTGACCTGAGTTCTATGTTCAGACTTCTGTGAACATTTTGAATAACTATTGCATTCATTAACCCTGCGGTCCCCAGCCCCCTGAGATTGCCTGTTAGGGACTGGGATGCAAAGCTCTGCTCCCCCAAACCCCACTCCACCCCCAGCCCCCACATCCATGGAAAAATTGTCTTCCATGAAACTTAGGAAGTGGGGGGCACACAGCATGAGGTGAGCAGTGAGAGCCAGTGAACCTTCATCTGTATTTACAACCAGGCCCCATCACTTGCATAACTGCCTGAGCTCCACCTCTCCCATCCCCCACCCCCACCAGATCTGTGGAAAAATTGTCTTCCATGAAACAGGTCCCTAGTGCCAAAAAAGGTTGGGGATCACTGTGTTAACCCATTGAATTAAAGCCAAAAAAAAAATCAGTTGCTAAACTTCTTGAATTAAAAATATTTAATGAATTAACAACCTTTGAAAGCTTAAATTGTACAGGCAATTTTTTTTTTCAAAATAGTCAAATTAATACCATGTGGAGACAACTTAGAATGAACTTGCATCCTTATCCCATGAGGATGTTAAGCCACCATAACTTTCTATTATGTTTTTGCTTCATTGAATTTAAAGAGTTGATGTGAAATCTTAGTAGAATTTGACAGTTTCAACTTTTTTCTCAAAATTGGTGGCAAACAATAAATGTTTGTGGAGTTCTATGTATTGTATTTATTGAGTGATGGAGGGAGGACACTGGTTGGTACAGGTCACAATTCTACTCTCCAGGATTTTTAATGTATGGATGTAGATGGTCTTATATTCTAAACAATATGAAATAATCATACTCTATTAAAATTTTTGTCAAAAAATGCAAATTTCAAAGAAAACTGGGCAGAGTGACATGTAACTCTATTAACCTATTGCTTCATGCTAGTAATACTTCACATGGTAAATGGAAATTTCCACCACTCTTGGTCAAGATGAATAATGAATTCATCATCTTTCAACATCTTTGATTTTTTTAGCAAGATCTTTAGGAATGCAGCTCTTTGCTTGTAAAAAGACAGTCACAATACAAGACAATAGTAAGTGCCCTTAGGTAGACAGACAATGTGAGCACTGGAAGAATATTGCTAGAATACATTAATGTGAACAGAAATGAAGTTCCATGAGGAGCTTATGCACTAGATGACATTACAATTAGTGAAGAAGCCAAATCATTTTAGTGGGATTGTGGAAAAGAAGAGATGTCAGAATGTATAGATGATTTGGGAAAACATTGGGAGTGATCTTTGGTGGTTTGTGGAGCTCCTCTCTGGCCTGAATCTTTTCTTGCAAGCAAGAGGCTATCACCTGTGTGATACCGTGACCTCCATCTCTAGGCTCCCCTGTTGTTCCCAGCCCTGCCCCGCCCCTCTTATCACTGCTAATCTGAATATTTGTACAGAGTTGAAATCTGATTACAATAAACTAGGGCAGCCTTAAAGGAGAGATGCAGTCACAAAAGAGCTGTCACATAGGGGATTATGTGAAGGGGATGATGCAAAGAACATGTTCCTGCCACTCTCTGGTCTGCAGGACTATTTTTTTATGATGGTGCAGCTGTGTTTGAGCCCTGACTCGCTGTATATACAGAGGACTTCACTTATGCTGCAACCTTTGTGTCCTTTTTACCTGAATTGCTGCAAAGCACCCAACCATAAAAACTAATAGCTATGAAATATGGTGACAACATCAGAGTGATTCCTGCCTCATACCACAGGCAACTTAACCCTAAGCAGGGGAGCAAAGGTTTCTGCCCACAGAATGGGAATGGTCTGAGGCCCGATTAAGCCATAAACATTGAATACTTCTGTCACAGGAAACCAAGATGATCTCTTGCAGCTCCCTATTCTACCTGAGGTGCCATGGTTGGTGGTAAACAATATGAGATTAGGCTCTTGTCAGGAAAACTAATGAATTTTAGATTGATTTCTGTCTTCTGCAATGCTACTGACATTTTTGACAGTTACGATTTATAGGTGCCTTCTTTGGGTCTATTCATGAGACGAGTTGTTTATTTTGGTTGATGAGTAAGCTTCTAATGTTCCCAGTGGAAAATGCTGAGGGCCATGGGGATGGCCATCTCTAAGGAGCTCCCTGACTGTCTAGGGAAGGCCTCTTACAAATTTGTAATCAAGAGCTCAGAGAACTAATGAGGGCAGGTTGGCTTGGAAATTGTTTTGGTGACATTTGACCAGTAGAATGCTCCTGGAAAATATATGTCTGCTCAGCTACAGATCCCTAAGTTAAAAAATCTACTTTGTGTGCAGTTTTCTTTTTTCTTTTTTGAAATTGTATAACTGGTAATTGCAGAATGGGGCAGGAATTTTAGTTCCCCAAAATGGTGATGGAAAAACACTGTAATTCAAACATTAAAAGTGGGGCCTTTTTTTGTCTTTAAGACTTGTATAGCTCATTGTAGAATATTTTTCTAGCAGGAATAATTTGAAATTTTACAGGTATAGTGGATACTGGGGTGGACCTTCAAGATTTTCCTTCATGACCAAGACACTTACTTCTCCAGCTCCAGCTCTTGCTAGCTCACAGATGGGTCTTTTTCTGGAAATTGCCCTCTGCTGAAGGGGACTGCTTTGCCAAAGATTATGTCACCTCTCTGGGTCAGTCTGCAATAGATGACTGGTTCAGAGTAGGGTATAAAGGCTTCTTTCCTCAATTCAGAACATCATTATTAGGCCATTCCAACTCCAGAGCATGGGGTCAGCTGGAGCCTTTGTTGCAAGTATATTATGATTCCCCTGCTCTCTCTGCCTAATCTTCTTCCTCTCATTCCCCCATAGAGTCTGTTTCCCAGGGAACCGAGCCTATAACCAGAAGATAAAGTTGGGAGAGGTGGGCATAATGGAGGAAGAGTGTACAAGGGCTCATTATAAATGGGATTTCAGGGATGAGAAAGAAAAGACATTGAAGTTATGTTGGAATTTCCAAACCTGCGGATCTTGGAAGATAATGTTGCCTTAGGCAGAAAGGAATCCTACTTTCACTGCCTTTTGAGGCTTATAGCTCAAGCATGTTGCACAAGAAACCAGCCCTGCACTGTCTTTTCCAACAGGGAAATATGGAGTACCTGGAATTTCAGAGGTATTATATATTCTGCCTATAATAAAAAATAGAGAAGACAATAAGGTTATTATTGAAATAAGGCAATAAACAGAATAGAATAAGCATAACTAATCTTATACTTGAAGTCTTGATAATATTTCTAAATAGTGGGAAAAGTTGGAAAATAGGATATGTGGTCAGAATGGGATCACTTTAAAAATAGACAGCATCTATTAAAACATATGCATGTCAAGAAAAAAATGTGACATGCTCTGAAGACACCAAAAATAGCAATAAAATCAACAGGTTGGATGCATGCTTTCTGTATGTCTTCTGGCAGTGATCATTAGGTAGTACAGGCAGTGGCAGCTCTTACGATCCAGGAGCTACAAAGGGACATTCTTCATGTCTTTGGTATACATTAAAGAGGTGGCAATTTGTATTAGGACTCTTCTTCCCCAGTAATTCCTAGAAATTCCACCTTCTTTTGCTGTTTTCTCTGTGATAGGTCTTGATTTTGTTTTTTCTATCTGCCTGAGCTCAGCATAATGTAGCTATTTTACTTTCATTTCTCTTTCTCCCTGTAATATTGAAAAGATCATAATTATAAGATGTCAACTGAAAATTCAGCAGCAGGAAAAAATCTCCGGACTATAGAACAACAATACATTGAAATGCCTTCTTCCAAAACGAGTAGCCAACAAAAATAGTGGCTTAAAATGATGTATTTAATTGTTGGAGAGTGATTTCCTTTATAATGAAGTGTTAGGCTTTTATTTGTAAAGGGATAGGGAGCACATATCCCTGTGCAGGGTGGGCCTCAGACATAAACTAAGTAGAGTAGCCTCTGCGGGGGGGGGAGGGGGTGGTGGTATGTTCAGGGGTTCTGAAGAGATGCTTTGTCCCCCAAAGTCCCCAAGTAATAAGTTGAGCAACCTTCACGAATTAGAATGATAAGGCTCAGACTTCTCTTCTTCTGGTGTGTCTGATGGGGGCCCACACTGGGATAAACCTGCTCTTGTCACTAAGTGTTCTTTTGGAACACTCTGGCCGGGAACCTTTTCATTGAGTTAGTAGGAGCAAGGCTTTCATGAGCGATTTCGTAAAGGCTTCTAAACTGTAATGTGCATTTGAATCACCTGGGGGTCTTGATAAAATGTAGGCTCTGGTTTGGTCAGTCTTAGCCTGAGAGTCTGTATTTCTAGCGAGCTCCCAGGTGATACCAATGCTGCTGAATCACAAGCCACACTTTACCAGGCCACAAGCGAAGTAAATAAGTAACAAAGAGCTGCTCACTCTCTTTGGCAGATGTCTTAGAAATCATCTATCTTTATCACTCTGTAACATTTGAATAGATTGGTTTATCAGATTATGCAGCTGTTCTTTTTTCCAGGTTAAAGTCTAAGTAAGCAGAGTCTAGTCCATTGAGGGGAAAGAGAAGTCCCCAAATATAGGATAAATAGCATAATGAGAAAAGAACACTGATTTAGGAGTCATAGAACCTGGTACTAGTCTCACTTCTGCCACTTACTCGCTTTTATTTATTTATTTATTTATTTATTTTTTTTTAATTTTTTTTTTTTGAGACAGAGTCTCGCTTTGTTGCCCAGGCTAGAGCGAGTGCCATGGCATCAGCCTAGCTCACAGCAACCTCAAACTCTTAGGCTCAAGTGATCCTCCTGCCTCAGCCTCCCGAGTAGCTGGGACTACAGGCATGTGCCACCATGCCCGGCTAATTTTTTCTATATATATTAGTTGGCCAATTAATTTCTTTCTATTTATAGTAGAGACGGGGTCTCGC